TTGTTGTTGTTTTTGGGGGTTTTTTTGGGGTTTTTTTTGCTTGTCTGTTTTGTTTGTTTTATTTTGTGGTTTTATGGTTTGTTTATTTCTATTTTGTTTGTTTTGGTGTTTTGTTTTTCTCCTGAAGAAACGTTAAAGATTTAGAAGAAAGAGAAATTAATTATTTTACTTCAGTCTTTTTGCCTTTAAGAATCATGCTATTGTGCTCCGCTGCAATGCAATAATTTGGCAACTGCCAGAAAGCTGAAAGAAGTAGAGACAATGAAAAATCAGTACAAGTATGGTGACAGATTAGGAAGAAATATTCGAATATCATTTACAGCTGTTTGATTGAAGGCCATTATGCATTTAGCTTAAGTCCTTGGATGCCAACATGGGTTATTTCTTAATGGTTGTTTTGCTGATAAGAAGTAATGATGGTTTTTATGTGCTATTCCTATCAGACCTGAAAAGCTTTCTGGTAAATGATGGTGTAAACTTCAAGAGTGGAGAAACAACAACAAAAAAATCTCTTTTTAAGTGAAACACAAACAAAAAATCACCTAACATCTTTGTAAGTAAAAATCAAACCCCAGAACAGCTTTTGAGCCTTAAAAACTAAAACTAATCTAATCACGTCAGAGGAACTGTAAATGTGTGCTGCATTTCAGTCAATATGACTGATTACCTGTCACTTACTCAGCTCTTATTTCTTCCCACTGTGTGCTTTGGAACCATCTTTGTTTTAGAAACTCAGAGGCAGTGTGTATGAATTGTTAGCTAACCTCTGCCTCATTTTCCTGAATGATTTTGGGTCTAAGCAATTAGCCCTGTCAGTTATTTCAGCTTAAAAGCTTCAACAGCATCATCACTCATTTATTTTTATCATCCTCACTGATGCCACTCAACATGGAAGAAAAATTCCTAACCAAGCAATAAAACAATATTTATTGCTACCAGCTTTCCTATACGTAAAAATATCCTGACTTGCATGCAATATATGTGACCAAAATCAGCAAAGTGGGGAGCTAGTTTCAGAGTCCAGTTTGTACTGCAGTATGAGGAAAATCAGGGCTTTCTCCTTTAGTACATCCCAAAAGACAGAAACAAACTCAGAAAACACATTTAAAAGAGATTTATGCAAGTAGAAGAAAGATTTTTGTTTGGCAGAGAAGTCACATCAACAAAATTTGACAGAACTGTTTGAGCAGCATAACCAGCTGCTGCATAAGTTTGTCTGAAGTGCTTGTTCCATCATTCCTGGAAGCTGAAGAGAACAAGGTTTTCAGGACCTTTGGGAGTAAAAGGCTATTACTCAGGCCTGTTTCAATATATCTCTATAGCAAATGGAGGCAGTAGTGTATACAGGCAAAATGGACAATAAAAAGTGAATAATGCTAAACTGTCACAGCAAGTCCACAGCAAGAAGTAATGTCTGCTGGAAACAGAAAAATGAAAATCTACAAAGCTGTCGTTCTATCTCATTTGATGTATAGCATATATTGATCATTTCAAATGTCCTCCCTACAAAGACTGAGCCTTTCTGAGTTCAAGAAGCGTTTGGACAATACATTCAGGCACATGGTGTGGCTCTCAGGGACCCCTGTGCAGGGTCAGGCATTGCAGTCAGTGTTCCTATTGAGTATCTTCCAGCTCAACATATTTAGTGAATCTAGGATTCTATTATTTGAGGGTGGGGAGGAAGGGAATGAGGCTTTCATGCTGTATATTATATTCTGTCAAAGTTTTTCTGCAAGCTGGCAGCAATATACATGATTTGTTTTCATTTATTTTATTCTGAAAGTAAGTTGTCACAGTAGAACAGTTAACAGCTTCCATGTGCTGTGAAGATAATATAACAGGAGGACAAGGGCACTGTAATTACATACTATGTCTTCAGAAATATGACTCTTGCAAGGTTGAAGACTGCTTCAGAGTTTCAAATTAGTCTGGATGACCCCATCTTTATTGTTGTTGAATTTCTGGAAATGATGAAATGCCAAGTCATTGAAAATAACTGATAAAAACCTAAAAAATGAGAAATTAGTAATTTAGTCTTTGACTCCATCTAAGTCCCATATGCTTTTCAGCCAGGTGCAATATTTTATAGGGAAATTTTTGTTTGTTTTAATGAATCTGAGTGATCTTCAGATCACTAAAAAGATATCAAGCTGTCAAAGATGGAAAAATCTATGATCATACACTCTTCCATTTCATTTTCACTAAAATTGTGGCTGTAAACAGCAATGACTGCAGCAATGATTTCTGTAATCTGATATAAGAACCTGTATAGGACTGGGATATCAGGGCTAGGACTAAGTTGTGGAAACTTAATATAAGATCCAAGGGCAGATAAAGGCCTTTTGGGTCTCTTTTCTTCATAATTTGCATAGCATAGACCCAGTAATATAAGTGTTTGTAAATGGCTTTAGATAATAGGAAGATTTCTGACTGTATCATGAATAGCATGTCAAAATTTTATTCTTTAGTCAGAATCACTGAAGTACATCTGAGACATAGCTGAGAATATTTTGTCATGACACCATTTTGTGTCATAATAATCCTTTCCTGCTGTTAGAAGAACACTAAGAAGTACAGTTTCCTTTAGTATGTTCCTTTGGAAAGAAAAGTAGTGAAATGATAATTATTCAGTCTTTAGTAGCTCAGTCAATGGGTAGTACAAACCTATACACTGTGATGTCCGGAAGTAAGTGCTGGCACAAGCTGACTTTACTCATGGGGATTTTCTCTAAGAAAAAAGGCAAATTTTGCCTTCTGGTATACTTCGCATACTGTTGGCCAGAGGGTGGAAGCAAACAGAAGGGATTTTTTTCAGAGGCAATCAAACAGACAATTATAGAGGTACCATAGCTCAAATTACTAGCTCACAAAACAGTAAGCCTGCTCCTAATCCACCAGTGCTAATGTCATTTTGTTCCTCACCTGAAAATATTGTGAAGCTGAAAAGCTGGCACAGCATGCATGGTAAGGAGATAACGACAGGGAACATTGTCTGCAGTTTAATTCAGCGGCTGAATGTGAAAGTCATCTATCCTGCTGTTACATAATATACAGCTTTTCAAAGCCTCATTTTGTGATGTGTGGCTGAACCACTGCTGGGTGGAAATCTCTGAGACATCCCCCTAAATGTGCCTCCCAAGAGTCACAGGAAACTGTCCTGCTATGCTGTTGAAAAAGAGGTGCAAATTTCCCCCTACATGTCACATGTAGCAGAACCCAGCGGCCACTGCCGATGTTTTCTGAAGGGGCTGCTCTGTGAGAGCTGTGGAACATTGACCCAGGAAAACAAGATGGACCGAGGGAAATAAAATGATGGGGCTAGCTTTGTTGAGAGACAGGATGAAGTGAAACAAGCATCCTGGGCTCAAAACCAGCTCCAAATGTAGCCAGCAGTTTTGACAGCAGAGACTGCTACATGAAGAAAGGTGAGCTCTGCCTGCCCACTGTAAACACTGATCATGGAGGTGCTCACCGGCAGCTGAGCAAAGTAACAACTTGTTATAGATGGATAATGAGATGGTTGGCTCTCACAATTAAAAGATAACTATGGTGTGAATATTAACAAAAGCTTTATGGATGTATGGTTATGTTGTTGTAGTTTAGATGTCCTCTGTTATCCCCATAGTTCCCTTTTCACCCCCTGTGTTGTGACCATCAGACAGCTGGGGTTGTCTAGGACAGGTCGAAAGAAGGTGTGCACATGTGTCCCTTGCATGGGGCAGCTGGGAATGGAAAAGCTTAGGGGGTTGCTTAGGGGGTGCAGCATGGCAACACCTGACCTCCAATCAAGTTACAAGAAAGCATTCTCCACCAATAAATGGCAGAGAAGAACTGACTGACAGACTTTAGGAAGGGCCAGGGCTGCAACCCTGGATGCAACCCCCGGGGGTATAAAAGACTGAGCATCCATCTTGAAGATGAACTGGCCATGTGGTATGCACAAGGGGCAGTTCCCAGCACTGCAGCTTTTTCCTGATGTAGTCCTTCACTGTATTTTTTGTTAAGGTTTAATAAACCTTTCTAAAATTTTCAAAGTGAGCAGTTGTTTCTCACAAACTCCTGCGAGAGGTGCAGCTAAACAAGGAATACAGATACTTCAGGAGCAGTGAAATAGGTCAGGGTACCATGTTACGAGCCCAGGCCTGCTGCTACTGCTGTTGCTAAAATCAAGGCTGCCTCAAAGCACTTTGGACTTTTACATTTAGCTCTATTATGTCTAGCATTTTCCAACATGGTTGTTCACCTGAATGAAACCATTTTATCCTTACATGTCAGCAGCAATACTTATTTTAAAAGTGTGTAATATTTTTTGTGGTTTGTTTTCATTTTTTTATTATAGCTTGTAGTAAATAATCTGAAAGCAAGAGTGTTCTAAGATAAAAATTGTTTAGCTCTGAAATTTTTGTAAGAGCACCCTCTGGTGGTTCATGCCTGAACAATACTGTATATCTTCTTCCAAAAGGAGTTGCACACTTATTTATAGTATTGAATTTTAAAGAAATGGATGAAAACTTTTTCCACTGAATTCTTCCTTTCAATCAATGTGAAAGTCATAAATATATTTTCTAAAAAAAACCCACCACAAAACAAAATAAAAACAAGCAAAATCAAATTAAAATCAAAACAAGAAGAAAAACAAACGGAGGAAAGTGTTTAAAAACATGTACTATCTAATTGTACTACTGTCTATAAGCACAATTTAATTCAAGAGAGTCAATCACATGTGAAAAGTTAGAGATAGAAATATAGATAGATATCTCAAGAAATATAAATGCTAATGTCTTTACAGTTACAATGGAAAAAATCTAGAATCTAGGGGAAGTCAATAGATAAAACAGGAATATATTTTCCAAAACCTTTGGTGGTTTCATCTCCTAATTTTAATTTGATTACTTAGGTCTTTTTTTTTTTTTTTTTCCCAGGCTCTATGATTTTAATCAGAAATATCTGTTTTAATTACCAAGAAATCCCAAGAATGACTGTCTACCACTTTGTCACAGGCATCTTCCATTTGAAAGTACCTGAGACCTCTCATGTTGGTTCTGCTATTGGACGGATCAGAGCTGTGGACCCTGATTTTGGGAAAAACGCAGAAATCGAGTACAACATAGTTCCAGGAGATGGAGGAAACTTGTTTGACATCACGACAGATGAGTACACCCAGGAAGGAGTCATTAAACTGAAAAAGGTATGTGGTACCAATGGGTGGATGTGCCTATGACTCAAGCGGTAAACCAGGTGAGGGAATGAAACATTTTGCACTTTTATGCATAAATAGCTCACAGTAGAAGTGCTACATAAGTAGTTTATATCTCTATTTGAATCCACGGTTTTGAACTTCATTTTAAAAGGCATTGCAGTTTAGCCTTTCATTTCTCATACAGTTAGGTGTGATGTTTCATAAATAATGCCATGGTGAAGAAGTTATTCTAATCTCTGTCCAGAAAATACAATGTCTCTTTCTTGGGAAATTTTCTACCTAAAACCATGCGAAAAACATTTTAGTTCAGATCATAAAATGAAAGAGTTATATTTTATGTTACATGGAATGTAATATATTTTGACTTAGAGGCATTTTATTTTGAAAATTTTGACTTTGTGTTTGCTATTTTGATAATGAATACTCGTGCAGGAAAACACACTACATCTCAGTCACTGATGTTGCTTTAGTACACTAGAATAAGTTCACAATTACTGAATTAATGAATTTCAAAGATGGGAAGGGCACTTTTCAATTTAGAATTTACTGACTAAAGCACTCAGTAGGAGAAGTCGACACAGGGAGTTTCACATTTTACCAGTTATTATTTTCTGAGCCCAGGCATTTACATATACACCAACGATCAACTTGTTCAGTAGAAAGAAATCTGAACCATGGGTCATTTTGGAAGGCACAGTTACGTTTTATAGACAGCTCAGGCTTGTAGGTGTAAATTTTTTAAAAAAACCAAATTATTTGCTGGACACTTTACAAGGGTCTGGGAAGGAAAGAGTTCTGGACATGTATATTAGGATAAGCTTTAGGAAAAGTGAAGCTTTAATTCTAAGAAAATTTAGAATGCTGGTGCTTAACTTTCCTTGCCTCTGACCATTGATCTACACTTGCATTATATCCATTCAAATAATGGAAGTCCTGGCTTCAACCTCCTGACCTGGGAAATAGTAAATTATCCATGGATGCATTAAAGAACAAGATGATGTCAAGTCACTGACTCTTCTTCTACTTTTAATGACATAAAATGGAAGCCACTATACTCACAGGAAGTAACTTGTCGATGAGACACAAATTCTTTGACCTTTTAACATCCCCCTTCTTCTCTGACTAAAGGTTTGAGTGTTCTGTTTCCTTCTAATGGGAATTTGTAGACTTAATTTCATTTAAAAACACCCTTCTGGTCACCTTTTTCCCTCCATGCAGATGACTCAAAAATGGGTCCATCTGGAGCTGTCAGGCTGAGCAGCTGCATACCCCTCCATTTGCACTGTCAGTTGGAAAATGCAGTAAGTAGGAACCATTGAAAAATTATTATTTCATCATCAAGAGCAGGTTTTTGATAGAATTCAGTTCTCTTTGTCCTAAGCCTCCTCTATGCTTCTTTTTTTTTTTAATATGCAACAATAGAATATTCCATACTTGTGGTTAAATGTATTTATTACCCACTGCTGGTTATCCAGGTTGGTAGTGATGATGTTGATAAGAAGGGTGCCAGGGTAATTAAAAAGGAAATTCAAGGCTCTGGGTCGATTGGTTGGTGAAAATCTGCTCAGTTCCTTCTTACTGAAGGAACTGAGCAGAGCACTGCCTGAACTCTTGATGAACACTGCAGGAGTGCAGGCAGCGCTCTGCTCAGTTCCTTCAGTAGCAGAGATGAATGATGAAAGGAACAGGAAAATCCATGCTACCAATAAGTGGTTTAAGGGCTCATGACATCCACGCAATTTTGAGATTTTGATCATAGCGTAACTTTTAAAGCACCAGGACTTCTAAAGTCAGATGGACTCATGATGCAGACATCTTTTATGAAAAACCCTTTCTTGGGATTTTTCCTTCTGAGAAGCTGCTGTTTCAGCAACAAAATGTAAATGATGGTTGTCTGCTGCTGTGGAATGCAACAGGTGCACCTGTGATTGGCCCATCTTGGATGTTTATAATTAATGGCCAATCAAGGACAGAGCTATCTGGGACAGAGTCCGAGAGAGCTACCTTTGTTATCATTGTTTTCTTTTCTATTCTATTCTTAGCTAGCCTTCTGAGGAAACCTTTCCTTCTAATTCTTTTTAGTATAGTTTTAATGTAATAGATATATATCATAAAATAATAAATCAAGCCTTCTGATCATGGAGTCAACATTCTCGTCTCTCCCTTCACCTGAAAACCCCTGTGACCACCATCATAGGGCTCCATCTATCTAACAAGGGCAAAAGGATTTTAGCCCATGAGTTGACTGATTGAGAGGCCTTTAAACTAGGTGTGAAGGGGGAAGGGGATGAAACCAGGCTCTTCAGAGATAAGCCTAAGGGTGGTAAGTCTGAGTCGAGGGTGAAATCAGTCCAGCTGAAGTGCATGTACACTAATGTTGGATAGGCAAGGAGCTGGAAACCATGACACAGAAGGAAAGCTATGCCATAGTCACCATCACAGAAACATGATGGGATGACTCACACAACTGGGGCACTGCAATGGATGGTCACAGACTTTTCAAAGGGATGGGAGAGGAAGGAGAGGTGGTGGGATTACTCTGTGCATTGGGGAGTCTCTTGATAAGATAGAATTTGAGATCAGTGGTGATGAGGTTGAGTGCCTAAGGGTAAGGATCTGGGGGAAAGCCAACAAGGCACACATCCTGGTGGGAGTCTGTTATAGGCCACCCAACCAGGATGAAGTGGTGGATAAATTATTCTGTGAGCAGCTGGAGGATGTTTGAAGATCACCAGGCAGGGGTGGGGCTCTGCTAGCTCTTCTGTTTACAGACAGAGAAGGGTTGGTGGGAGATGTGGTGGTCAGAGGCTGTCCGGGGTACAGTGATCACAGAGTTTTCAATGTTTGATGAAACAAGGAGGGGTATCAACAAAGCTCTACGCTGGACTTCTGGCAGGCAAGCTTCTTCGTCTTCAGGATGCTGATCAGAGAGTACCTTGGGAAACAGCCCTTAAAAACAAAGGAGTCCAGGAAGGAAAGATATACCTCAAGAAAAAAATCTTGAAGGTGCAGGAGCAGGCCATCCCTATGAGTCAAAAGACAAGCTACAGGATCAGCTACAGCTGCAGGGAAAAAAATGTCAACAAACTGACCTGTCTGGACAGGGACTTTTGAAGAAACTAAGGAGAAAAAAGAGGCTATATAATCTTTGGAAAAGTGGGCAAGCAACTCAGGAAATGTTTAAGGATGTTATTAGGGCATGCATTAGAAAGAAAATTAGAGACATGAAATAAAAAATAAAATTGACACAACCTAATTTGACCTTGTGAAATTATGCAAACGTTTAAGTATGTATTGAAGTCTTTTTAGTGGGTAAATGAATAAGACAAACACATTCAATTAAGAATTATAAATAATAAACAGTGAAAGCCACTAATAAAAAGTGCTATATGCTTTAAAAACAGGTTCACAATTTCTTCTCTATCATAGCATATTCTGTAAGCATGTGCTGTAAGTGCTGCAGTAATTCAGTGCTGAGCCACTTCAAAACCATTTATAAAATTTGCTTTTATTTTCCCTGAAAAATTTCTTGCAGGCAGAAACTGTCCATCACTGCACAGATGCTTTTTGGCCTGTTATTATGCAGAAAAACATTGAGAGATTTCTATATCGAAATTGATAAAAATGAAGCCTTCCTGGATTACCTTTATTTTTGGTGGAAAATACACTTGATGAGAAAAAAATTGCACAGAGAAAAAAATTGCAACTGTTCCTTTTCGCACACTAAGTGTGTTGACAGATGCAGAAGGCCATTCTCTGCTTCAGGGGTGCCATTCTCTGCTTTGGAAATTGGTAAGAGCAGCTACAGCTAGACAAGTTGCAGATCTTGGATAATCTGTTTTGGTTGCTCGTTTATTTTTTTGAGGTTTTTTTTTTTGCCATGATCCTATATAAATCTGATTGCTGCTACTCTTGTGCTAATTACATGTATTAAAAATGAAATGGCTTTTCTTATGTTCTGCTAAATAAACCATCCAAATGCCATCTAGCACCACTGTGTGGTTAGTACTGTAATTTTTTTTTCTCTCAAAATAAAAGATAAAGGAAAATAATATCCCTTAAAAAAAGGGAGGGAATCTTGGCTTAAGGGTAGTGCTGTATGCAGGTCTCTGCAGACAGTCAGAAATATTGCTATATTAGGAATAGAATTATCATTCCCTCCCTTGTCTACTATTGTTTAAAAAAGTGTTTACTGTATTTGGTATTTAGATAGCATCTTCTATTGTACCTGAATCTTCAGCAAACTACAGTGGGTATAAGCTATAAGAAACATGGTGACAGAAGGGGCCATCTCCTTCATGCCAGAGTATAGTGACCTCAGATGCATCAGTTCCAGGCAAGGGACTTATTTTGAAATCTTTAGTGAACAGGCACAAGAGTAAAGGAAAATAGAAGGTTCCAACCTTCTCTGAAAAGTTGTCACTAAATTTATTAAACCAAGGATGAGTTTATACAATAACCCCATTTTTGTGCAGAAGACTTTTAATTAGCTCAGCGTGTGCTAATCCAGAAACTGAGTAGGGTTCAGGCACTGAACTTGTTCTGCTTGAAGACATTGTTTTAGTAATTTGTGTAGTGTTTCATTGAAACCTCGGAAAACAGCTCTTTCTAAGCTCCACGTGTTGTGATCCTACACTGCTCCATTACCCTCGGTGAACTTCTCCACATGGTTCAGTGGAAATTCAGGGGACAAACACATCTTGTTTTCTGTAAGTTGTGCACCATGACTAAAACTTACTGATCAGATGGGAACGCTGTGGCCATGAAATCTCAGCATGCCATAGCATTGCACAGTGAGAAATAGTAACTTTAGTGATGATAAAATAGAAGAAATTGTGAGACAATGAAGAGAACCACAAGCTGCAGGAAAGTATTAGGAGTGTGTGCTTGCTTTTAACCTCAGAAGGCACTTTTTAGAAGCCTTTAATGCAGTCAGTAAATAGTGCTTTGACTGTGGGCTAAGTTCAGTTGTGTTGCCCGTGGGACAGCCCAAGTGCATAGCTCTGGGATGTTGCTGTAATGTAAGAGCAGTCTGAGAACACCTGTGCCACACAAGAGTGAGCATAAGGCAGACTCCCAATGTCCTTCAGTGAGAACTGTGTTAAAGCTACTCCTTGTTTTACTACCAAAACTGTACAGATTTCTCATCACACACCACCCCACCCATTCTTTCTCCAAAGGCAGGGAATTTCCTCTGCAAGTGTGAGCACAGGAACTGTCTGCCTGTAATCATAACTCGTGGGTTTGTGGGAGTGCAAATAGTGGTTGTGCACTTTGAGGATGAAGAGCAAGTGGTATTAAGTCCTTCAGTACAGGCAGAAAGTGGTGAGATGTGTGCAGATACAATCACAAAGAACAACAGGAAAAGTAAGGAAGAGGAGACCAGTCTTCGTAGTTTGTGGATAGAGCTGTTTGGTTTGGTTTCCCCTGGAAAAACAACACCTTCAAAAATGTGTGAGACACTTGAGAGCAGCAAACAACTGAACCCCTGACACTGGTCAGCTTCTCCCCTTCTCCAGATACAGATCAGACATATATTTTGTCCACTTGCCATCGAATCTCAAAATACTCACTACCGATCTCAGTTTTTACTGTGCTTTCTCAACTCTAACTAATGAATGCTCCTGGTTGATCTAGAGACTACTTTACAAAACCTGCTCTGTAATACCACTTATTTCCTTATGCTGTTTAGAATCCAGTGTAGAAGTCCAGTTACTGAAATTTAACTGCTCATCTGGAAGTTGTGTCAATGCACAACAAATTGCCTTGTGCCAATATTTAACAACATGCATAGGTGCTCAACCCATTCAAAGGGGAGATTGTTTCCAGCTTTTGAGGGCATCCCATATGACCCAGAGCTATTCTGCAATTGCACAATGCTAATATGAAGTCAAGCCTAAGTTATTATGCACTTTCTGTCAACCCACTCTTACTATCCATAACTATCCATATGTCCTGGGGCTTAAAATCTCATCCCAAAATACAGCTTTTCCACCATTTTAGGTGAAAGCCTCTATCAGAAACAATACTCTCTTATGTGAGAGAGTATTTCTTATGTGTGGAAATCTATGTGCAAAAAGCAGAAATTTCTGGAGTTTCCAGTCCTGTCTCTGTGAAGCAGAACAAACTGATGGGGTAATTCTTTTATCACCCTTGTTGTGCTTATCATTAGAATTCATTATATCTTTTGGATCATATTTTTTCTTTCAGTTTTTAAATTATTTCTCTCTTTCCCACTATAGCAGCATTTCTTAACTGCTGCCTTGAATGTGGAAAAGAGCAACATTTCAAAATACATTTATTTCTAATATAGACCTGTTTTTGTGCCGTCCTAGTCATACTAAATAAGTCCATTCATGGTGCTTACAGAGTTGCAAGGTAAAGTGATTTGTCAGTATGTATTTGATTTAGGGATTTGTAGAATGACTTTGCTGTGCACAGGTGTGTATATGCTGATAGCACTTTACTAGGCAACTATATAGAGCAGCTTGTAACCTCAACATAGGAAAAAGCAGATGAGGACAAGTTGAGGGGGCCCAATACATCTGTTCTGTCACTGGTACATAGGATATCAATTAGAAATACTCCAGTTATTGAACAGCTCACAGTTAATAAGGCATCACCTTACTATTGGCAAAAATACTGTTTTCTGCACCAAAAAAAAGGACAAAAGCCTTATTCAAATTTACCTTCTGCATGTAATTACTTTTATAGGAGAATTAAATATTTCTCTTGCTTATTAAAACAATATATGAAGTAATTTCATTAAAATCTGATTAATTGAAAAAAATTTTAAGAACCTTACAGGACTGGTTTGGAGTTTTTTGTATCATTCAAGAATTCTACTGTGTTTTTTTTCCTTAGCAGCATTCCAGATTCAAAATAAAAGTGGAACTGAGCACTCTCAGACAGCTATTATATAACAGTAAAACACAGTGATGGGGTTGGTTTTTAGTTTGTTTGTTGGGTTTGTTTGGTTTATTTTTTTGATTTAGTAACAAAAACAGGTATTATGTGGACCACTCATTTACTTGACAGATTTTAGTGATATCTACTAAAAATTAAAAATATAATAAAATGGTTTTTAAACATGTTTTAAACCAAAAATCAAAAACATCCAAAAAGTTTTGCCTGAGACCTATGCAGACATTCAATTCTACTGTTTTCAGGCAGACTCTTGACAATTCAGAGCAATGCCTGAATCTTAAACTGTCAATGCTATCTATATGACTCAACTGTTCAAATATGGGAAAACCAGACCAGATCGTAGCATGCAATCCCCATACACACAAGCCAATAAAACCATACTCTTGTTACATGATATATGTTGTATAAAATATTTTTCTATTTGAAATTAAGTCCTAGCTTTACCACTTGAAACACTTCCCAACTCTCCATACATTTCAGCTGTGGTTTAGCCTCACTTAGGCAAAAGGTTAATTTCTGCTATTTTGTGGGAGTCTGTCACTGATTTCCTTCTCTCATGATGGCTCATCACTTTCAGCCTGTCTCTTCTTATTTTGACTGCCATCTGTGCTTTGCACTGGCTGCATAACCTCTAACTATATTTATCATCGGACCCATAGAAGGACAGAAAGAGAGGAAGAGTTCCTCTGAGGTTTCAGTGGAAAAACATTATCCCTTCTTGGGATCACACTGTGGGACCACACTGTCTTTTTTAAAATATACATTACTATTTCCCCATAATGTTGGGGGTAGAAAAATAATGCAGCCATTTTCCTGCTCCCTGGGTACCTGTGCAGTGGAATATGGCAGTCTGAACTTACCAATGGACAGAAGAACTGTTTGAAATCTTCCTGCTTTCTGCTTCCCTTGCATCCCCTTGAAATGCTGTGACTGGGCACTGGCCATGCACCATGATCTGGTATAAGTGTTTGAAGAGTAATTTGGTGAAAGACAGCCTGCAAAGACTGCATGAATTATGGTTCTTTCCATTAATAATTCTCTTTGCAAATATACTGATGCACTACAGGAGCCAATCTGAAAAGTTTTAATGCAATTTTGGTGGTATGAAAGATACCTACAAGGTATTACCCAGAATTACTACCTATGTGGGAGCTTATATTTCTTAGTTTCTTTGTCTTAATAATTTATCTCTAGTTTAACCCCTGACTTTTTCTTCTCCAGACTAAGTCCTTAAACTTCATATTTCTTCTCTTATTATGTTTTTTGAAAATATGTTACCAATTGATATAAATATTTGCAAAAGAGTTGTCTTGGTTTTTTTTTTTTGGATTTTTTTTTTTTTTTGGGTAAAATTAATTTCACAACTGGGACATGAGATCTACCAGACTTAATTTTGTCTGTTTCTTCTCAGGCTCAGTTTCTTCTTCTTTCTGTCAGTCCAGATACAAAGGTACAGCACATACTGGCTTTTCTGGTAATTTTGTCTGTAGGAGGATGGTTGTGTTTGGTAGTGAATTACTTTCAAGTGTGATTATTTCTATGGCATTAAAATTTATATGGATAATTTTAAGTCCCCAGCTCAAAGAAAAAAAAAAGACTTAGCATCTAGTCTATTTAACTGACAAAGTCTTTTATAAGGATTTATAATCATTATGGTTCAGCTAATGCAAGTCAAGGTAACTCAATTGATTTTAATGGAGCTATTTCAATTTACACCAGTCATCTGGCCAATTATGTCCTCTTGTGACAAGGAGAGAAAACTGAAGAATTTAAATCTATCCTGGCTGTGACAACTGTCTGAAAACACTGGGGAAAAAAACCCAAACATTGAAATATTCTTGTTCATACACATGTGAACGTGTTCTTTTTTTGTTCATTCCCGATAGCAAATTTCCAGCTTAACAGCTATAGGCAGAGACCACTAGGTGCCAGTGTTACCCAGACATCAGGAAAAGGCTTTGTTAGAAACATTAAAAACAACATGAAAGTCAATTCAGAAAAACCCTTTAAATGAAAATAAAGCTTCTGCATCTTTTCAACTAAATAAGACCGTATTGAGGGTTTTGAGATGATTACTTTTCTAGAAGTAAAGGCACAAAATTGATATGCATTGACAGAAACCCACATCAAAACAACCTTATTTTGCAGGATACATTCTGTCAAAACCCCACATAACTACACAAAAGCTGCTGTGTCATCTTCAAGACCTTATGAATTACACCTAGGATCATAAGACAGAGCCAAAGTCTGCATTTTGCAAAGTACATGCAGATCAAACATATGGCATGAATAGCAGTTCACTGCAACGATCGACATTTTACAAGAAAACTTCTTTCAGATCAAATTAGAATTCACATTCCAAGTCATACCTGAAGTTTAGTTTGACTCATTAGTATATATCAGGTTTTCATTTGGGCTCATCTTCATCATCGTCATGGTCTTCTGAAAGCCTTTCCTGCTAAAAAAAAAACGGGAAATCTTCTATTTAAGGTGCTGGATCCACTAGAGACAGCTGATTGCCGGAGCATGGGAGCTGCAAATGCAAATCTCTGACTAACCTTCACTCAGCTCATTTGCAAGAGATGAATCTCGCTCATTTAACTTCAGACATCTACACTGTAACTGTTTACATCCATGCCAGTCATCCTGATTTTTTTGATGTAGAGAAGCAATAATTTCCTGACTGTGATTCATCTGGCCTATTTCAAAATTCACCTTAGCATAAGCTGAACCGCAAAACAAACTTAAATGATTGATTAGCTCAGGAGATGAGTTTTACACAAAAGGCATCTTAAGTTTTGTCAGATTAATCCAACCAAAGTGATTTTGCAATGCCTAATTTTTGGTAAATCTAATGTTTTGCTTCTGTTCTTTCTACAGCCGTTAGACTTTGAAACAAAGAAGGCATACACCTTTAAGGTGGAGGCCTCCAATCTCCATCTTGACCATCGATTTCACTCAGTGGGTCCATTCAAAGATACTGCCACCGTGAAGATAAATGTGTTGGACATGGATGAGCCTCCAGTGTTCAGCAAGCCCGTGTACACGATGGAAGTCTATGAGGATACACCTGTGGGGACCATTATAGGTGCAGTGACAGCACAAGACCTTGATGCTGGCAGCAGCTCAGTTAGGTAAGAGAGCTTTTCCTCCTTTAGTAACTCTGACAACCCAAAGTGTTGCTGACAGTTGGGTGCATGCACTGGCAAAGAACTTAGTATGAAGATATAAAATGTACCTAGTCTGTCACTGTAACAGGTAACTGGTGCTCTGAACAAAATATTGGAAGGAGGTACTCGTTTGGGTGAATTATCATGAATTGCTCACAGCTTCTTATCATACTAATCATTTAAGTTACCACACACTATGGCTTCAGAGATGGTGTGCTAAGACTAAGGAACAGCATGGAGCCTGGGTGTCACAACCCACTGGTAGAGGATGTGATATTTGCTGTAAATTCTCCTTCACTCTGAACAAAGACACATGTCAGGGAACTCTCATGCTATTATTGTACCATCACTTTGACTCACAAGGTGTTGGCTAACAAGCCCTTAAATTCTTAAATGTTCTTCCACAAGAGTGGTAACCCTTAATTTTGTACGATACACTTCAATAGGTTCTCAACTCCCACAACAAGCTCCTCAAACCGTGCTGGAGGATGCCACAACACACCTCCAGAGAGACTGAGGGGGCCCAATCCGTGACTTTTATAGTTAACCTGGTCCATACCTCTTATGTAAAGGAGATTTTTCACACTGTTTGGTTAGCACATGCATAGCCAGCATTTCTGCACGGAATGAGTTGGCGGGTGGAAGCTGTGAATGAGCCTCAAGGTGGAGCAGGATGTTGGGTGAGAACAGCTCAGCCCCACCTCTGCAGGATCCTCTCCTCTGATCACACCTTTCCTGTAGCAATGCTCAGAAAGTTTGAGACAAAATGTGCTTAGGTCTGGTTCTCCACACTGAGTCTTCCACAAATATATCTCCAAAGTACAGTAATGAGAAAGTTGTTTTTACTTGCTATGTCTATATGAGTTAGACTCCTATGAGTGATGGAACTGCCCCTTTCACCACTTACTCTCTACATCTTGCAAAGAACAAATGCTCTCATAAACAATCATCCCATGTGTCTTGGCTGAGGATATGGGGACATGATTGTGACCAACCTGGCTGTGTTCAGCACAAGGAAACTCCTGCCAGGCAAGCCTCTCATTTATTGCTATAGCTTATTTTAATGATATAAAAAGGAGGGGGAATCTGGTATACAAATGTAATATATTGATTTTGAGAACTTATTTACAGCCACATTAGAAAGATTAAAGTGAACCAGAGTCATAAGGAAGCTCCTTAAAGCCTAGACACAGTCTAAGATGTAGGCAGTTGTTAACACATATTTCCAGTACCAATTTGTGCTCGGCCTATCTGACTGCAGGAAACATTTTTATCCCCAGATTTTCATAACAAATATTAAAAACATAGTGTGTGTCATCAGTCTTTAAATATTAATGTTTATCAAATGGGACATTGACAGAACAGGAAAATGCCACTAGTATCTACTGAGTGCATGCATTTTCATGCATATTTGATTACAAATTGAATTTGGACTTTTAAAATCCATGTTTAACAATTATGTGTATTTTGCTCAGTACTTATATTCTCAAAAGATACAATAAGCATGTTAGTTGTAATCATATGCAAAAAATTTAACATATAACAGTGACTGTTTAGGTCCTGCTTTGTCAAGTCACTGTTAATTTTTGCCTAAAACTATTACTATTGCTGTTTGTTTCACTTTTTTTAATATAATCTTCATTTTTTTTAAATATAGAGATGCATTTGTCTTTGAGTCTGTGACACATTCCTTCTCTGACAAAGGATCAAAACCTTCACTAATAAAGACTCAAGTCTGAACCTTTTTCCCTGGTGGTAGCCTATGAAAATAGCCCCAGTGATGTCAATATTCTGTTTAAAACCATACTCTCTTGCAACCAGATAGAAAGTCTTTAATCACATTCTTGAGCAGTTTTTCATATGACAGTGGAATCATTTGGATGTATAACCACTCTTCAGTGAGTTTTTTGTTTCACAAATGCTCCTAGGAGACTCAAGTGCTTTTTACTCATTCTGTATTTGTATTTACTCATTTCAGTATTTTTGTATTTGTATTACACAAGAAAAATAATTGTCTCTCGATGGTTTGTCCACGTACTGTGTTCACTGGAATATTGAACCCTAAGCCATTTTATAATGTCCATGTCTATGTTTTTTAACCTTGAACTCACTACTTAAGTGTCCAAATGCCCATCTACATTAATACATTCAGTTAATACCCCTACATTTTATGCTCTTCCTGGTGACCCCTTACACCCACAAGCTGCGTAAGTCTTCCCAGGGTCAGGTTTATGAGTGGATTCAGCTGGTTCATGCCCACAGAAAAACATGAACTATGTCCCAGAATGTTCTGGTGTTGTTGAGTGGTGTGACTTTTGGGCACGTGTGCATCTACATGAGTTATGTTCAGAGTCATATCTTCTACCTGTGCAGCGATGTCCTGCCCCAATGCAGCAGCCCAGATGGGTTTGCCCCTGTGTTGCCAGTTAGTCTTCTTCCATTGCTGCAGCCACCACCACAGGACGTTGGACATCATCCAGGAGTCAGTGCAGAGGTAGAATACAGGCCTTGTTTCTTATTCAGAAATCTCTAGGGCTAGTTGGATGGCTTTCACTTCTGCAAAGAGACTCTTCTTCTCCCTCAGCAGCCATTGTGTAGGACTCCACACAGCAGCTTTCCACCTCCAATGGTTTCCTACCATGCAGAAAGATCCAGCAGTAAATAGAGCATGGCCTCTTTTGTTTTGGGACAACTTGTTATATGATGGTGCTTCTTGGGCACTTTGAGCCACCTTCCTCCATATGGTCATTGTGCAAAGGGCATCCTCTGGATCTTTAGGGACTGTCTTGGGGTGATTTTATAATGATTCTTTATTTCATAATTGTCTGCTTATGCCCAGTAACAGCTGGGGGTTTTTTTAATTTGCTTTTTTTCCCCCTTGAACTGTTTCTGATTTTTTTTCTTTTTTTTTTCTTTTTTTTTTTTTCCTTTTTTTTTCCTTTTTTTCTGGCCCATGTGGGGAGCTGGTGGGGAGGCCGCCCCAAACTTGAGACCTCAAAGCAGCTAAACCAACAGGAGAAAGGACACTTAAACCCACCAGCTTCTCCTTCTGCAAGGAAGAGACTAACATCAGAAAGATTCCAATCTATCCTGCCAAAGTAGCTACACTAACTCCTGTTTCTTCCCTGATACCATCTTTGCTTCATGGCTATGCTGTCTGGTGGGGGGTTGGGGTCAAGTTTTTAAAATTTCAGTATCTAGCATTTATTCAGTCCTTTTCTGTGCCTTGCAGGCACTTTTTTGGTTTTTTCTTTGTTAATAAACTGTTTCGGATTTTTTTTCACTTTGACCTGCTAGGATTTATTTCTCTTATTGGCAAGCAGGATTATCAAAGTCCTTTTCTTTAGAGAAAATGCTCATTCCAGGGCATTTTATCCTAAATTTTGTCCCTAAACCTAGACAAGGACATTATCACTTTTTACTGTACTATAAAGCACTTCCAGGACTTCTAATTCTCTCAAGTACTGGATATCTTCATCTGCAGTGATCCACCTTCCTGGGGAATTCACAAGGTCTTCCTTAAATGGATTTCATGCCCTCATGCTTTAGAGAGGCCATCTCTAGAGACTGTAAATTGCTCCTTCTTTTCCAATTCCTACTTCAATTTCCCCATCTCTAGCAAGGGATTTTAGCTGTTGTGGCCTCATGACCTTCTAATTGTTGACTGTCAGCCTTGTTATCCCAGCATCACCTGGCTGGCGACTGTAGTCTTTCTACAAATCTCAAAGTTCTGATGAGGTCAAGGAACAGGTAACTTCAGGTTCCTATTTGATTTGTCTCACTCCTTCAGATTTTTTTCTTGAATGACTAGCTTTTTCATCTGACCTCTCCTCTCCTGATTGTCCTCCTCGTCCTCCTTCCTTTCCTCTTCTTCCCTTTCTTACCAATTATATGGACCTGTAGCTTCCCTCATCTGTTATTTTGTTTTCACTACTGGTGCAAGTACTGTAGTGGCTGTGGTTTGAGGCCCTGTGTCAGATGTAGTGTCCTCAAATGCAGTTTGGGTTCCTGCCTCAACTACAGTCCTCTGTGAGGACTGAACAGTGGCACGGCACGCACAGGTCCAGCCCCAGCACAGGGCAGGGAGCTGCTGGCTTTCACTGGGGTGGGCAAGGCACCCTTCCATCACTGATGGAAAGGTCACTTAGCCAGGGTTGGTCACATTCAGGTGTAAAGTCACAGGCAACTGGAGGTAATAACCACCCTAGGAACCTGCCCAAATTCTTCCACACATCCTACCACCCAGGAACTGGATGCCTCAGGGCACATTTCAATATTTCCATATTTAAAGTTTGTTTTCTCTAACACCAGGATGACATCAGATTCCACAAATCCCATAGTGCGCCAATAGTATTCCTTAATACTATTAACAGTATTAAGCAGCTTAAATAAGGATGAGCAATGTCCATGGGAGCCTGTATTAGAAACCCATTCACATCAGTTTTGGGCAGGGAGAGGGAGATGTATTTCCTCATCATCCACAGAAGATAGCTCCCCCTGCATAACAAGGCTACCATGTCAGGGCAAAGCACAGAGCTATTGCTTGTGTTAACACATTCCCAGCAAACTCAGCAAAACAGAGAGATAAGGAGCACAGCTGACAAACCCCACGTCCCACAAAGGAGCTTGCTACTAGATAGCTGCTCTTACTATAGCATGCAATATGGATAGATAGATAGATAGATAGATAGACAGACAGACAATCAGACAGTCAGAGAGAGAGAGAGATAGAACTGCCTTTGTGTCTCTCCTTGGGCACTAAAAAGGACTGTGGTGGGTTGACCTTGGAGACATGCCACATGCCCACCAAGCCACTTTATCACTCCCTTTCCAGCTGGACGGGGAAAGAAAATAAGATGGATAAGGCAGTTTACTAAGGCAAAGAATGGAGCTTTGTGTATGCATAAGCGAAGAGAAAAAAAAAAGGTTTATTCTCCACTTCCCATCAGCAAGGGGTGTTCAGC